TTCGTGGGGAGCCTGTGGGGACGGCGGCTGGCCCAGCGATAGCGGTGCCGAGGGACAAGGGCGCAGCCCAGATGCTAGGGGGCGCCCCCGCACCTCCATCCCCGGGCCGGCCCAGCCCCTCCCGCCCACGGAAGGGTGCAGAGCCCTATAATCCGCAGGAGGCAGAGGGCAGCCCGCTGGAGCCTCCCCACCTTGAATCCCTCGCGGAGGGGGTGGGGGAGCCTCTTCTTTTCCTCCACACACAGAGCTCATCGCTTCATCGGCAATGTGATCTGTCACCAAATGGAGGTGCCACATCCAAGTGGTATCAATGTGGACTCCTAAGCTGTCTCCCAGGAGCCACCCGCCACCTCGGCCTCCCTTGGAGCCAGTTAAAAGACACGAGACTCAGTCTGACAAACTGGGGGATGAACATTCTAGACGTGTGCACTGCCAGCCCATTCTCAGGGATGGTCTGCGTGCTGGGGAGGGAACAACGCGGCATCTTTAACCATAAAGACAAGGGGGGTGCCACGCCCCAGGGATGGTGGAGAAACCACAATAAAGCAGGGGAGGGGGCTCCCTGTCCACCCCGCACAGCTGTAAATGAAAGAGAAATACCTTTCATGCTGCCTCTTCTGCAGATCACTGTTTTTAAACTCTGTGGTGGCAACATCAACCAGGCCCATCGTTCTGAACCTGAAATAAAGCAATCACATGATTAACTATTATTTAACCAGCGCTTAGCACCGCAGGTGTATTAATCAGGTTTCGGTGGGTTGTGCTGCTGTAACAAATTACTCCCATTTCCTGGTCTGCAGCAAACCCAGACTTCTAGGTGTTAAGGGCTGTCACTGTGGGTTGATTGTAGTCCTGCGCCTTCCTAAGTCAGGCCTCTCTGCACAGAAGTGCATAGGAAAGAGGAAACTTGTAGGTATTCTCAAAAATATGTAATTTTCGGGCTGGGGATGTGGCTCAAGCGGTAGCGCGCTCGCCTGGCATGCGTGCGGCCCGGGTTCGATCCTCAGCACCACATACCAACAAAGATGTTGTGTCCGCCGAGAACTAAAAAATAAATATTAAAAAAAAATTCTCTCTCTCTCTCTCTCTCTCTCCCCCCCCCTCTCTCACTCTCTCTTTAAAAAAATATGTAATTTTCTCTCCTCTCTTTGTATTTTATTTTTCATTTTTTGGTACTGGGGACTGAACCTGGGACACTTTACCATTGAGTCACACCCCCAGCCCTATTTATTTATTTATTGGTGCCACCTTACCATTGAGTCACACCCCCAGCCCTATTTTTTTATTGGTGCCACTTAACCACTGCTATATCTTGTGTGTGTGTGGGGAGGGTGCTGGGGATTGAACCCAGGGCCTTGTGCATGCCAGGAAATAACTCTACCAACTGAGCTATATCCCCAGCCCCCGTCTTATTTTGAAACAGAGTTTTGCTTAGTTGCTTAGGGCCTTGCTAAATCGCTGAGGCTAGCTTTGAATTCACAATCCTCCTGCCTCAGAGTCCCGGGTAACTGGTAGCACTTGTGCGCCCGGATCAAAAATATACAATTTCTCTGTTGAGGTTTTTCTTCCTGTGACCTGTCATCCATGAGCACCCATAGATGAGAGGGAGGCAAATCTTCACAGTGACCCTCCAGTCTCAACCCCTCAAGGGACACATATGTTATAGCTGAGACCATAAGTGGCAAGGCATGTGCCCGTGGTCACTTTTCCAGCCAGTAGTCCTACTCCAAGCCCTTGTGAGATCACTCAGTTCCCAAGGTCCAACCTGCCCTCCTGCCAAGGCTGGTGGAGACCTGTCATCCCTCCCAGGCTCTGAGAGAATCGACATTGCCAGCCCTTATGCCTTTGGACTTCCTAACCCTGTCCCCTCCCTCTGTTCCCCAGTTGATTGAACCAGGGGGAAAAGCCTGATCCAAGATGGGCGGATTGGAATGTTCATAAATAAGAAACAGGAGGCAGAAATGAGCTAGAACATAGGAGCGGGGTCAACAGCAGTAGAACAATATCAGCAGCTAAGTTTTACTGGGTCCTTCCAGGCGAGGCTTTTGATGACCCTCCAAGGTAGGCGACCGGCATGCTGTCTAATGAAGACACAGATTCTGGGGTGAATCGGCTGCCCTGGGGCTATCTGGCCATGACTCCCCATGTCTGCTGCTGCCAACTGTCATGGTGGACATGTCTGTTCCTGCCAACCCCTAAAGCCTCTGGATGAGGCCTGACTGGCCCCTCCCTGGTCCCCAACAGCTAGCTCAGAGAAGATGGCTAAAAGGCTGTAATTATCAGCCTCCATTTCATATTTTATAGGTGAGGGAACCACAGCACCGCTGTGCTCCGTGTTCACTGTGCTCCAGGCTGAGGGGCTGGATCCTCACTGTAGCATTTTTGTGACATTGTTATTACCATTGTCTCTGTTTTGCAGAGCAGGGAACAGGCCTGAAGAGGTGACCTGACTTGCCCACAGTCACAGAGCTGCTTAGAGCCTGGTTCTGACTCTGGCTCTGCCATTGGTCAGCTGCAGGCCTGGAACTCACAGAAGCTGGGCTCCACAAGAGTGGCCCAGGAGGGAGCTCACCTCACGGGCATTGAGTCAGGGTATATACAGGGGCTGGTAGTTGGGCACAGCTCTGTAAGATGGTAACATGCCAGCTGCTGTCCCTCTAAGGACTTGCAGGGACCTGGCCTTGCCTTGTTCCCCAAGAGGGTCTCATTCCCTTGACTGTCCCAGCTTCACCCAGGCTCTGCTTCCTTCTCTTTTCTGGGCTCAGAGAGTAATGGAGAGGGGGAGCTCGCTCTCCCTATGGCTTTGCCAGCAGCACAGAGACACCTGGGAAGAAGCCCAGAGCTGCCCAGCACAGAAGTCCCACAGCATGGGAAGCGATGGATTTGGGGTTCATAACCTGAGCGCTGACTGGGACTTGGGATTGTAGATCCTGATGCCCAGCTCTGCCATGCATAAGCTGGGTCACTCTGGACCAGTCACTGACCCCATCTGGGTGTTGGAGCACTGGGATGGGGATCCTGTGTTCTATTTGCCAAACATTCCTCATCACATCCAGACACCAGTCCTGCTTGCAGAGGACACGTTACAGAGGCAGGAGCAGAGGGAAGTGCATGACACTTCCAAGGTCACTCTGGGAATTACTGAGCAGTCCCGGCAAAGCTGGGACCCAGGCCATGTGCTCCCCTCTGTGCCAGAGAGGCCGAGGTCTCTCTGGGCAAGAGCCGTAAGGGGACATTGTGCCTAGGACACACCGGCATCAAAGGGGGCTGCAGGAGGAAATCAGAGGCTGTCCAGATGAGGCCAGCACATTGTTCTTAGAAAAGATAAATTTTGAGGCCCTGCTGAATTTCTGTGGCTCAGGGTGAGGCTGTGCATGCAGGAGGTGACAGCTGTTGGGCTTTCTCCCGAGGGTGGATTCTGAAGAGGACGTGGAGCCTTGAGTCACTCTGTCAGGTTCCTTGATCCCACAGAGAAGCTTGGAAGAGGAAATGTTCATCACCCTAGTCTCCAGGGGACGTCTCATCCAGGGTCCTCCTGAGAGTCCAGGTCACACAGAGGCCAGGGAAGATTTGAGAGTGAACCAGGCCTCCTGGGGACATGGTCCCAGTACTGAGGCTGCTACATGTCCACAGGGTTAAGCCAGGCAGGCCCTGGGAGGCCCCTCCACAGTGGGAGAGACTTAGTTTGGCTGGGTCTGTGGGCAAGTCTGTCTGCCACAGTTTCTTATCCAAAAACTGGGCATAACATTGACCTCCCAGAGTTCTCAACAGAATTAAACAAGGTCATATCTGGGGAAAGGAACCCCTTCCCTGCCCTGCCACCCTGAACAACCCCACGCCCTGGCCTCTGTGTCTGAAACCCCATGGTTATAGGAAGGAGGGGCTGTTGGCTGGTGCCCGTCTGCGCCAGGCACAGAGCATGTGTACTCTTATTCAGCCTTCAAAACAATACCAAGAGGGAAATCGTTCCTTGTCCTTTTACAGAAGAAGAAATTGAGCCTCTGCAGAATTCTTTCCTTCTGCTCCTGGGTCAGGGCCCTAGGGGTGGAGAGTAGGAAAGGGCCCCAGGGTAAGAGAGACAGGCCTTGCCCACATTCCTCTAACAAGGGGGAGAGGGCCAGCGGTGAGCAGACACCATGCTGGGCACAGGGCTTCAGAGATAAGCAGGACCAACCCCATCATGGCCATTTGGGACACAGACAACAAATGGATTCAGTTGAAAACGATGGTTTCAGTTCATCTGTGCTGTGCACAGGGAAGTTTCTGGTATATAAGGACATTTCATGAAGGGTGAAGGAAGGGCTGGCCTGGCCTGGGGGCTTGGAGAAGGCCCATAGCTCTGAAGGAGGAGGAGGTGGCGGCAAGGAAAATAGATGCTCCTGACAGCCAGAAACCTGCCAGGCCTGGAGGCCAGAGCACAGAGGGTCTGAGGACAGACAGAAAGAAGCTCAGCCACCCAGGAGGGAGCAGTGTGAGAGGTCCAAGGGCCAGTTTGTGAGACAAGAAGCAATTTTAAACTGTATCTGGACAACACAGGGAGCCACTGAGGGTTTTAAGTAGGTAATTACAGGGTCAGATTCAGGGTAGAAAGATGCTGGGTGCCTGTCTGCAGAAGGTTAGAAGGGATTAGGAGGTGGCAAGACTATGCCTTCTCCAGGCAGAGGAGGTTGATGGCCTGGACCAGATGGGTGGCCTGGACTAGGAGCATGGCCATGGGGAAGGGATAAGAGGTTGATTCCAGATGAAAAAGGCAGTCTCCCAGACTTGACGGACTGCTGGATGAAGGGGTGGGGGAGAAGCAGCCTGATTCTAATGGGAATAAGTGATAATAATATGTCAGCACACACTCTACTGTCATGTACATGGAAAAACAGCAATAATAATTGAAAACTAAACAAAACAGCAGCAGCCTAAGGTGACCTAGTGTACCAGTGTACTCTGGTGACAGTGGGACTTTGTGAAGGGGAGACAGGGAAGGAGTGGGACAGGGGATGGTCACCATGGGGCCAGAGAGGTGTCTAGCTGCTGAGAGTGAAGCTGGGCTTGTGGCCCAGGTGGAAGATTGCCACCACCAGGGAGAGAGGAAACCAGCCAAGGTGCGAGCCCCAGGAGCGGGTGGAGGAGTAAGTGGTACAGCCATCACCAGAGGAGAGGTCAGCAAGGGCGGGAGACAGTCCAGGCTCCCCCCCCACCCCCCAGAACTGGCGTCCCTAGGAAGAGCAGTGAGCCCTGACAGGGCCGCGTGTGCGGAGGCAGGAGTGGGGGCGTGGTGGAGGCAGCGTGTGGGAAGTGGGTCGCTGGGGGTGGTCCAGAGCAAAGGAAAGCGAAGGAGAGTAGGGAGGAGGCAGGAGGCAGGAGGGAGGCCGTGCCTCTGCGAGCAAGCCAGAGAGCTCTTCGCAACTCAGTCCTCAGGAGGCAGGAACCGGACCCTAACCTGGCTCTTAGAGCCGCAGGGCGAAGCCGGGGAAGCGGGATTCGGCCTCATGCACTGTGGCCACCTGGGGGCTGCTGGTGCTCCCTCCGTCCTCGGGAGGAACCTCCGTCCGGGGTTGGCCTGGGTCCCTCCCGAGGATGCCTGGTTCCCGGGGGCTCGGAAAGGCCTTCGGGGGCGCTGATGCTTTCGGTCGCTGCACAAAGCCAGAGGCCGGGTTCGAGGCTGGCTGGGCGGAGCGGCTCGGG